ACGCATTTTATATCTGTACAAATGCACATGATCAAATACTAGTTGTTGTTAAAGTAACATTTTTTTTTTTTTAAATTAACAATTTATTACACTTACATGATTGAATTTGTAGGACCACATGGAAATATAAGAAGTTAAATATATTTGTTTTTTTATTAAAAAAAAAAACTAAGAAAGAAACAAGAAATTAAGGGGAAATTTTCCAAATTTATTAAATTTAATATTAACATTAATCACCATCACAGGGGATTCGGGGTGAGAACCTAAGTAATAATTAAAATAAAAACTAACTTTAAATAATTTACAAATTATTAGCATAGTATACCTTGCATCTTAAAAAAATCATACATATATATGTTGTTTAATTCTTTGCTTTAACTTTACAATTTGTTAATGAATTTTCTTTTTTTTTTTTAAAAAATTATTTAAAGTTCTAGACATCACAACAACTGAAGAATTATTAATCAACAAAAAAAAAAAGAAGAAAAAAAATAATAATAAAAAAAAAAAGAAGAAGAAGAAGAAAAAAAAAAAAGGAAAAAGACCAAGAACCAAGTCAAGTTTTGCACACTCCACAAAAGTCTCGAAAAAGGCATCTTTACGTATGACCATCAAGACATCTCCAATGGTAATAGTTATTACTAGCTATATAGTTAGTTGACGTGAATGTGAGAGATAAGAAAAATGACTATTTTACACTATTGGACCCACATACTCCTCTCACATGATCTTAGGTTACGTGAAATAGATAAGCTATTTGTTCAGTGCTACTACCGTGTGCCTTGGCACCCCTAGCAAGGTGTGCCAAGGCAATTTAAAATGCACATGTTACTTTACAAAATGAACATGTGTAAATATGTTTACACATGATCATTTTGTAAAATAACATGTTCATTTTAAAAATGCTTTGGCACACCTAATTATTTGTGGTTATTAATTTGTTTGTAGCTAGTGACTACTCTCTCTCTTACTTTTCCCCTGTCCACGTCATAATAGTTAGCCAAATAGCCAACCATTGGAGACGTCCTCAAAACGAAGACTTGGCTCTCCATAAAAATCCACCAACCTTAATAAAAATCCACCAACCTTCTTTTTGTGCTTGTTTCAAAATCAAGATCTCTCTTTTATGCTCCCTTTGTGCACTTTTAGTCTAAAGCCGCTTATGTGAGGTACTTGTACGGTTGACGGCTGGCACCTAAATTGATTAAGTGGAAAAAAAAAAAAAAAAAAAAAAAAAAAAAAAACAAGAAAATTCAGTGGGTTTTCACAGCAGATCTGAGGCCGTTTGATGAATTTTTGATTGGTTTCAAATTTCAATCAGCAAGTTTAGTTGTCTTCTTCGAGGGTTTGGAAAAAAATTGAATCTTGAAGATTTTATCTTGAGCTTGTGGGCTAATAATTTCTTGATATTTTTGGAGGCTTTCTTGTTTGTTTTATTTTTTGCTGCGAGTTTTGTTTAAATGGGGAGTTGCTTGAGCAACCAGATAAAGGCTGAGAGCCCTTCTTACACAGGTACAGTTTATGTTCTGAATTATTTTGACTTCTTCAAATATTTTGTAGGTTCTCAATAGAGATAACACTTGTGAGTCGTGATCATCATTTTGTTGTTTTTTTAGCTGAAAAACAAAGGTTGAGTGTTTAAGATTTTGTTTCATTTTGTTGTTCTTAGGATGTTGTACTTGTTTGCCTTGTTGAGTTAATTAAAAGGGGTTCTCAAGTTTTTTAAGCTCAGGACATTGTACTTGCTAAATTTGTGATACTTGTGAAGAAAACATACCTAGATTCAGGGATTTTCAAGATTCTTAAGCTTAGCCTTCAATTTCCCGTTAATTTCTAATGTAATTCTTCATCCGGGCTGTTTAATGTATGCTTTTAGGCACGGGCTCGTCGAGAATGGTGAGTGGGGATGTGACGAATTTACGTAACTTGAGTCGAAAGACATCCTCATCATCGTCTGTGCCCCCAACTCCTAGAACCGAAGGCGAGATATTACAGTCACCAAACCTTAAAAGCTTCAACTTTAGCGATCTTAGGACAGCCACCAAAAACTTCCGGCCGGACAGCGTCTTAGGAGAGGGAGGCTTCGGCTCGGTTTACAAAGGGTGGCTCGACGAGAATTCGCTGGCGGCATCACGGCCCGGCTCAGGTATGGTTGTGGCCGTCAAGAGGCTGAAACAGGATGGGTGGCAAGGGCATAAGGAATGGTTGGTATGTAAATAACAAAAAAAAGAAAACGACTTTTTTGTGAATTCGAATAAATGAAAGGGAGAAATTTTGATTTATTGTGAATGGATGGTACGTAAATATTTCGACTTTATGAATTCAACTAAAAAAAAGAGAATTTAACTTATTGTGAATGGTTGGTACGTAAAAATTTCGACTTTATGATTTCAACTAAATAAAAGAGAGAAATTTAACTTATTGTGAATGGTTACGTAAAAATTTTGACTTTATGAATTCATTCAACAAAATAAAAGAGAGAAATTTAACTTATTGTGAATGGTTGGTACGTAAAAATTTCGACTTTATGAATTCAACTAAAAAAAATGAGAGAAATTTAACTTATTGTGAATGGTTGGTACGTAAAAATTTCGATTATATGAATTCAACTAAAAAAAATGAGAGAAATTTAACTTATTGTGGTTGGTACGTAAAAATTTCGAATTTATGAATTCAACTAAATGAAAAGAGAGAAATTTAATTAATTGTGGTTATTGAATGCTTGTAGTTAGAATGATTAGGATATTATGTGGATACTTTTGTGTAGTTTATTATTGGTGTAGTTCTTGTTTCGTGTATAAGTTATACTTTTTATTTATGCGTTATGTTGATAGGCCGAGATCAACTATTTGGGGCAAATTAGTCATCCGAATCTCGTGAAGTTAATCGGTTACTGCTTAGAGGATGACCACAGGCTTTTGGTGTACGAGTTCATGCCGAAGGGTAGCTTGGAAAATCATCTATTTAGGAGTAAGTTCGGTTTTGTTCTTCTATGAATGGTCTTATATGTAGTGTTTTGCAGAATCCCATAATGTCTATAAGATTAAACTTTTGATGACTGTCGTCGGATTATATTATGTAAGCTTAGCAAGTTTCGAGCAACTTGAAAAATGTGATGATGAAGTTTTGTTGGTGTTGTACTTTCAGGAGGATTGTACTTTCAGCCACTTCCATGGACTCTGAGAATGAAGATTGCTCTCGATGCTGCAAGAGGGCTAGCCTTTCTTCATAGTGATGAAATAAAAGTAATATACCGGGACTTCAAGGCTTCTAACATCCTTCTCGATTCGGTAAGTATTTTTTTTCCCTTTTTTGGCTGTTTGTTTAAGGATAAATGAATTAGAATTGAAATTTACCCCCTTATGTTTGTGTTTACTTATTTTGACTGTCTTTTTTGTGCTTATTTCCTTAACACACCGGTGATAATGGTTGAAATCGAACATTTTGTTTTACACCGGTGATAATGGTAACAACGAACAATCCCATTTTTTTTTTTTTTAATTAGTAGATAACTTTTAATAAAATACATAGATTTCTATGTTTTCATGTGCATTTGATGTTGTTTGCTACATACTAGTATGAAACCCGTGCGATGCACGATTTGTATTTATTTTGGGGAATATTAAAAATTAAAATATATTAATAAATAAAAAGTGATAATTCGTAGGGAATTTTTCAAACCATAAATTGTTCCTCATGCGAAAAATATTATTTAAAAATTTTCTTGTACACAACATTATTTGTTTAATAACTGAGCAATTCGTGTCCCCACAAACTAATATTTTCAACCTTTTTCTATTACTTACACACGAAACAAACAACATAAATGTCTGTGAGTACAAATTGTTTTCTGTAAGGACATGCCAACGTAAAATAAATGTTGACCTTAACTTTTATTTATCTATTACTTACAGGCGTAACAACAACATACAATTGGTCGTGATCAAAAACAGATATTTTTAAGAATATGCCATTAATGCACAACTCTTATCTAATACTTACACAACAACAACATATAATTGATCGTGGCTAAGAATCGATTTCTTTAATATTATGCCAACGCACATAAAGACTGACTCTAATCTTAAATGGAACTCAAAGATTAAAAGTAACTGGTGCTCTGGAACTTAAATGGAATCATAAGATGGATCTTTTTATAATATGATAATTTACTTAGGCAGTCAGACAAATGAGTTGTTGTTTTAGAGGATGCTTGGATACAAATCTATCCAAAAGAATCTAATCATATTTAACGCAACCACACTACCTTCAATATTATCAATATAACTAAATAATATCAATCAATCATTCTTACACACCACATCAACTTTAATTCACTATTCATCCACTCGCATAATTTTAACTAACAATCACTTCAAATCATCTCTCTCCTACTTTTAAACCAAATCACTTTTAATTATATTATTTTAAATATTATTTCAATATAGCAACTATCAACTAACCACACCACTTTTTCAAAACTAACTAAACCAAATCAAAAAGTACAAACAAATCCAAAAAATTTTATATCCAAGCATATCATTTTAACATCGATTATACTTTATTAGTTAAATAATATTCACTAATATTTCTATATTTTTTTATGCAAAAAGACTGACCTTGACTGTTAAATAGAACCCCAAAATAAGAAGGAACTGGTGCCGCTGGAACTTAAATAGAAGTCTAAAATGGATATATTTATAATATAATAATTCATACGGCAGTTGGACAAATGAGTTGTTAGTTTATTATTTTAATATCGATTATACTGGATTAGCTAAATAATATTCACTAAAATTCTTATAATTTTTATGTTGTTTAAAAGAACCTTAAACATGTATGGTTAAAATATTAAAAACACTAAATTGTTATACAACATGTGTAAGATTATCTAAAATATTCTATATTATTCCTAAAAAATGTGAGGTCACCTTTCTAAGTTATTTTATAAATAAAACATGTCTTAAAAAAAATCAACACCCATACATATATACACAACATGTTTAAAATATATAAAATACTACATGTGAATAATATTTATTAAAGTCTAAAAAATTTTAGTAATTAGTTGGATAACTTTCCTATTATATGTGTGACAATTTTTTATGTATTAAATTTATATATATAGATATAGATTTTGCATATATAGATTTATATTTTGTGTATACGAAAACGAAAAATTGATTTACTATACAAAATTTTAAAAATTTTCCTTCTAAAAACAATTGACAAAAAGAATACCAATTAACGGAATTGGTTTATATCTCAAAAAGAAAAAAAGATTTGTATATGTCTCATATAAAATCGTTCATTTTCAAAATCTGCTACAATGTAAAACATATTTAAATATTAATATAAATTAATATTTTGTGTATATAAATGTCAATCCAAATTGTTGGTTCTGATAAATATGATAAAATAAATAAGAATCCTCACAAATGAGAATTCCAAAATTGGCGCCATGTAAATTTAAATATTACTATAGAATTATTTTTTTGTGTATGCAGCATATATGTTAATCCAAATCAATGATTCTAATGAATTTGTTAAAAAAAAAAAGAAATCCTCGATAAATGAGAATTCAAAAATCGGCTACATATAACTATTTACATAATCTTTGCCTACAAAACCACTATCAACGTATTTAAAGGAAACCAAGAATTGACTAAAACAAACACAAACCGAAAGCCGAGTTATATGAAACTTATGCAATTAATGATTTATTTTTTATTTATATCATATTATAATATTTTCATCTGTAGTAGGTAAATAATGTTCTGGGCGGAATATGCTCATAAAATGTTTGGGTCTGAAAAAATCATGTGTTATTAAAAACCTAATTGTAACAACATTATTAGTTTGATTATTGAGCAAACTCGTTATTCCCACAAATTAATATTGTCATCCATTTTCTATTTGTATCACGCAAACGCAATATATAAGTGATCGTAACTAAAAACATGTTTTTTCAAGAATATGCAAACGTGCGATAAAGACTGACACACCTTTGTTTATCGTCGTGACAATATAAATGAATGTTTATCTAAAAAATTAATCTTTTAAATGTATTGATCGTGTGTTATTTTTTTAATTTCGTGATTGATGGACTTTTTTATTAATTACTGGTTTGATTAAATATATAACAAATTTTGTTGCCAATCGTTTAGTTAATTTGTGTAAATGCATAAATAAAAAGAGAACTAAACTGTGAAAAAATTTTCATCTTTTGAAAGCAAATAAATGATAAACATTATCTTTTAAAATAAATAATGACAATGATTATAACATTGTATTATCAATACCGATAAAGTATATAAAATTCATTTTCCTTTTCAAACCGATAATGTAGAAAAAAAAAAAATCAATTGATGAATAGATGATATATACAAACCATGATTATAGAAATCGGTTCAAAATTTTCTTTGCATGAATGTGACGCATAAATCATTCAGCCTATTATTATATTATTAAATTATTTGAAACGTGTATACACCGATATTTGATTCCATAAAAACCGGGAATTGAATTCATCAACTATTAAATCAGTCATTACATATCAGTTGACAATTAATGCGCCGAGATATGCTATCCTGAATCTCAAGGAATTCTAAAATTAGGTAATAATTAATGCATGACGACGGGAAAAGATTACTAAACATAATTTAAGTCTAATCTTATTTTATACATAAAGATATAATATTGATACCATGTACAACTGGTTTTATTTGAAAGAACTATATTATTATATTATTAAATTTATAATATATTATTATATTATTTGGCAGAATTATTAAATTATTAATTTATATTATACTATGTACAATCGGTATTATATCATTTGGCAAAATTATATTAAATTAGTAAATTAAATTTTATTATTCCATGTTCAATCGGCGTTAATCTTATTTATTCGGCAAAATTATAAAAATAATTGGTAAATTGGTTGATTCCATGCAAAACCCATTTTATTTGGAAGTTGGAAGAATCGGAAAGAATTAGATATAAATCTTAGCATGGGATATTTAAGGGAGTAAATTGTTTGTTTCCATGCGATTATTAAGGAAGTTCTTTGTATCATTAATGTTAGATATTTTTTTTGATAAAGAATTACTATAAATAGGGTGTATTTAATGCTAATGGCGGGAAAGAGTTTCTAAAAGTGAATTATGTTAATCCTTATTATATATTAATAGATTTATGTGAAAAAATCAACAGACTAGGTTTGCCTTTTTACTTTATTAATTTGAAGGTTTATTTTCGAATTAAAAAAAAAAAAAAAACTGCTAAGTTTTATATGGATTGGGGGTCTCTACGGTACTTACTTAAACAGCAGATACTGCTGTGCAATATCCACCGTTGGATATTAAGAGATCTAGTGGCCACAAATTTTGGCCAAAACAAAATTTACATGTGAAAAAATAAAAAATCAAAAGAATTCAATTGCTCAGAACCATAGAAACATCTCTGTATCTATCTCCGTTGAATTCAATTGCTCGGATAAATAAAAAAAATCTGTGTATCTATCTTCATTTCATCTCTAAATTTAATTGCTCCACTCGGCTGCAATAAAAAAAATGCATCAGTGTCCGATTACCGATCCACAAGCCACAGATTTAAGGGCCAAGAAAATTCCAATTACATTGGACCGGGTTAAAAAAACACTTGCTAAAAGGTCAGAATGTTAAGTAGTGAGAAAACAGCCTTATTATTTACAAATTCATTTCAAATATTAAGGGAGTCTTCTACCCGTGTGGGCACACATCAACCTATGGGACATGAGGGTAGCACGGTCTACCAAAAAATTACCACAGAAACAACACGAAATTCCGAGCGCCCGAGTCCCCAAGTGATCTTCAGCCCATTCCCAATGATGTCGGATGTCAGAGATCTGATCCCTCTCCGTTTCGAATGTGCACCCGGGAAATAAGCAGCTGAAAGTAGAAGGGGCATGTGGGGCCAAGTGGAGACAATGTCTGAGATGCATTTTCCTTCCAGCTTCCGTCTTAAAGTAGTTGCCACATTTGCATCGAAGTTTCTTTAGCTTGATCGACAAATGATCTAAAAGCTCTCCCCAATGGCGCGATAGATTATCGGCCGAAGTGAAGCGCACCCGGCACTTGATACATCTGAATTTTTTCGGACCCGGGGCAGAGGAGGAGATTGACCTCCGAGGGGCAGTGTCAAGGCTTAGAGGTGCAGTCACCCTTAGAGGTGCGTACGCAGCTTCCACTATTGCCTACAAAAAACCAATATGAAAAAGTATTATCCACAGCTTTTCAAAATCAATTAGACAATAAGAGCTTCAAAATCGAGAGATGGATCTTTTGGAGTTTCCAGGCTAAGAAGTGAGCTTCAGTAATCGAATAAGGCCTTGGGTTTGGAACGGTATTCCCCTCTGCATTTAGCTAAAAAAACAAATTGGGTGTAAATGCAGAGGAGAAGCTTTTATTGTCTCATTGATTTTGAAAAGTCGTGGATAATACTTTTTCATATTGGTTTTTTGTAGGCAATGGTGGAAGCTGCGTACGCACCTCTAAGGGTGACTGCACCTCTAAGTCTCGACACTGCCTCTCGGAGGTCAATCTCCTCCTCTGCCCCGGGTCCGAAAAAATTCAGATGTATCAAATGCCGAGTGCGCTTCACTTCGGCCGATAATCTATCGCGCCATTGGGGAGAGCTTTCAGATCATCTGTCGATCAAGCTGAAGAAACTTCGATGCAAATGTGGCAACTACTTGAAGACGGAAGCTGGAAGGAAAATGCATCTCAGACATTGTCTCCACTTGGCCCCACCTGCCCCTTCTACTTTCAGCTGCTTATTTCCCCGAGTGCATATTCGAGACGGAGAGAGATCAGATCTCTGACATCCGACATTATTGGGAATGGGCTGAAGACACTTGGGGACTCAGGCGCTCGGAATTTCATGTTGTTTCTGTGGTAATTTTTTGGTCGACCGTGCTACCCTCATGTCCCATAGGTTGATGTGTGCCCACGGGTGTAGAGGATTCCTTTAATATTTGAAATGAGTTTAAAATAATAAGGTTGTTTTCTCACTACTTAACATTTTGACCTTTTAACAAGAGTTTTTTTAACCCGGCCCAATGTAATTTGAATTTTCTTGGCCCTTAAATCTGTGACTTGTGAATTGGTAGTCCTGTAAGTGGATTGAAAAAAAAAGACTAGTGGATGGGCGAAACGAGGTTCTTCAGGAGCCTGCTGGAGAAGTTTCTGGCTTGAGTTTTAGTGGACTTTTTTGTGTTTTTTGATGTTTGTGGTTTGAGAAGCCTTATGTAGTAGAGCTTTGTTTGTGTGGATGAATGGGTCTGACTTCTTTGTAAACAATGAGTTGTCATAAATATTGGGCAAAATTTCTATGATCTAGAAATGAGTTTTCATAAAATTTTCGAGATTTCTGGTCTCCAGAAATCTCGAAAATCCCAAAAAAAAAAATTTGGAATCATTTCTGGATCTTAGAAATTTTGCCCAACATTTTATGACAACTCATTGTTTACAGTTCAATGTTTACTCAGAAGTCAGACCATTCATCCACACAAACAAAGCTCTACTACGTAAGGCTTCTCAAACCATAAACATCAAAAAAACACACAAAAGTTCACTAAAATTCAAGCCCAAAACTTCTCCAGCTGGCTCCTGAAGAACCTTGTTTTCGCCCATCCACTAGTTTTTTTTTTTTTTTTTTCCAATCCACTTACAGGATTACCAATCCACAAGCCACAGATTTAAGGGCCAAGAAAATTTCAATTACATTGGGCCGAGTTAAAAAAACTCTTGCTAAAAGGTCAGAATGTTAAGTAGTGAGAAAACAACCTTATTATTTACAAACCCATTTAAAATATTAAGGGAGTCCTCTACCCCTGTGGGCACACATCAACCTATGGGACATGAGGGTAGCACGGTCGACCAAAAAATTACCACAGAAACAACACGAAATTCCGAGCGTCCGAGTCCCCAAGTGATCTTCAGCCCATTCCCAATGATGTCGGATGTCAGAGATCTGATCCATCTCCGTCTCGAATGTGTACCCGGGAAATAAGCAGCTGAAAGTAGAAGGGGCAGGTGGGGCCAATTGGAGACAATGTCTGAGATACATTTTCCTTCCAGCTTCCGTCGTAAAGTAGTTGCCACATTTGCATCGAAGTTTCTTCAGCTTGATCGACAAATGATCTAAAAGCTCTCCCCAATGGCGCGATAGATTATCGGCCGAAGTGAAGCGCACCCGGCACTTGATACATCTGAATTTTTTCGGACCCGGGGCAGAGGAGGAGATTGACCTCCGAAGGGCAGTGTCAAGGCTTAGACGTGCAGTCACCCTTAGAGGTGCGTACGCAGTTTCCACCATTGCCTACAGAAACCAATATGAAAAAGTATTATCCACAACTTTTCAAAATCAATGAGACAATAAGAGCTTCAAAATCGAGAGATGGATCTTTTGGAGTTTCCAGGCTGCGAAGTGAGCTTTAGTAATCGAATAAGGCCTTGGGTTTGGAACGGTATTCCCCTCTGCATTTAGCTAAAAAAACAAATTGGGTGCAAATGCAGAGGAGAAGCTTTTATTGTCTCATTGATTTTGAAAAGTTGTGGATAATACTTTTTTCATATTAGTTTTCTGTAGGCATTGGTGGAAGCTGCGTACGCACCTCTAACGGTGACTGCACCTCTAATGTTTGACACTGCCTCTCGGAGGTCAATCTCCTCCTCTGCCCCGGGTCCGAAAAAATTCAGATGTATTAAATGCCGGGTGCGCTTCACTTCGGCCGATAATCTATCGCGCCATTGGGGAGAGCTTTCAGATAATCTGTCGATCAAGCTGAAGAAACTTCGATTCAAATGTGGCAACTACTTTAAGACGGAAGCTGGAAGGAAAATGCATCTCAGACATTGTCTCCACTTGGCCCCACCTGCCCCTTCTACTTTCAGCTGCTTATTTCCCGGGTGCACATTCGAGACGGAGAGGGATCAGATCTCTGACATCCGACATTATTGGGAATGGGCTGAAGATCACTTGGGGACTCGGGCGCTCAGAATTTCATGTTGTTTCTGTGGTAATTTTTTGGTCGATGGTGCTACCCTCATGTCCCATAGGTTGATGTGTGCCCACAGGTGTAGAGGACTTCTTAAATATTTGAAATGAGTTTGTAAATAATAAGGTTGTTTTCTCACTACTTAACATTTTGACCTTTTAGCAAGAGTTTTTTTAACCCGACCCAATGTAATTGGAATTTTCTTGGCCCTTAAATCTGTGGCTTGTGGATTGGTAGTCCTATAAGTGGATTGGAAAAAAAAAAGACTAGTGGATGGGCGAAAATGAGGTTCTTGGCTCCTGGAGAAGTTTTGGGCTTGAGTTTTAGTGGACTTTTGTGTGTTTTTTGATGTTTGTGGTTTGAGAAGCCTTATGTAGTAGAGGTTTGTTTGTGTGGATGAATGGGTCTGATTTCTCAGTAAACATTGAACTGTAAACAATGAGTTGTCATAAAATGTTGGGCAAAATTTCTATGATCTAGAAATGAGTTGTCATAAAATTTTCGAGATTTCTGGTCTCCAGAAATCTCGAAAATCCCAAAAAAAAAAGTTTGGAATCATTTCTGGATCTTAGAATTTTTGCCCAACATTTTATGACAACTCATTGTTTACAGTTTAATTTTACTCAGAAGTCAGACCATTCATCCACACAAACAAAGCTCTACTACGTAAGGCTTCTCAAACCACAAACATCAAAAAACACACAAAAGTCCACTAAAACTCAAGCCCAAAACTTCTTCAGCTGGCTCCTGAAGAACCTCGTTTTCGCCCATCCACTAGTTTTTTTTTTTTCAATCCACTTACAGGACTAACAACCACAAGCCACATATTTAAGGGCCAACAAATTCCAATTACATTCGGCCGGGTTAAAAAAACTCTTGCTAAAAGGTCAGAATGTAAGTAGTGAGAAAACAACCTATTATTTACAAACCCATTTCAAATATTAAGGGAGTTCTCTACCTGTGTGGGCACACATCAACCTATGGGACATGAGGGTAGCACGGTCGACCAAAAAATTACCACAGAAACAACACGAAATTCCGAGCGCCCGAGTCCCCAAGTGATCTTCAGCCCATTCCCAATGATGTCTGATGTCAGAGATCTGATCCCTCTCCGTCTCGAATGTGCACCCGGGAAATAAGCAGCTGAAAGTAGAAGGGGCAGGTGGGGCCAAGTGGAGACAATGTCTGAGATGCATTTTCCTTCCAGCTTCCGTCTTAAAGTTGTTGCCACATTTGCATCGAAGTTTCTTCAGCTTGATCGACAAATGATCTAAAAGCTCTCCGCAATGGCGCGATAGATTATCGGCCGAAGTGAAGCGCACCCGGCACTTGATACATCTGAATTTTTTCGGACCCGGGGCAGAGGAGGAGATTGACCTCCGAGGGGCAGTGTCAAGGCTTAGAGGTGCAGTCACCCTTAGAGGTGCGTACGCAGCTTCCACCATTGCCTACAGAAAACCAATATGAAAAAGTATTATCCACAGCTTTTCAAAATCAATGAGACAATAAGAGCTTCAAAATCGAGAGATGGATCTTTTGGAGTTTCCAGGCTGCGAAGTGAGCTTCAGTAATCGAATAAGGCCTTGGGTTTGGAACGGTATTCCCCTCTGCATTTAGCCAAAAAAACAAATTGGGTGCAAATGCAGAGGAGAAGCTTTTATTGTCTCATTGATTTTGAAAAGTTGTGGATAATACTTTTTCATATTGGTTTTCTGTAGGCAATGGTGGAAGCTGCGTACGCACCTCTAACGGTGACTGCACCTCTAATGTTTGACACTGCCTCTCGGAGGTCAATCTCCTCCTCTGTCCCGGGTCCGAAAAAATTCAGATGTATCAAATGCCGGGTGCGCTTCACTTCGGCCGATAATCTATCGCGCCATTGTGGAGAGTTTTCAGATCATCTGTCGATCAAGCTGAAGAAACTTCGATGCAAATGTGGCAACTACTTTAAGACGGAAATTAGAAGGAAAATGCATCTCAGACATTGTCTCCACTTGGCCCCACCTGCCCCCTTCTACTTTCAGCTGCTTATTTCCCGGTTGCACATTCGAGACGGAGAGGGATCAGATCTCTGACATCCGACATTATTGGGAATGAGCTGAAGATCACTTGGTGACTCGGTCGCTCGGAATTTCATGTTGTTTCTGTGGTAATTTTTTGGTCGACCGTGCTACCCTCATGTCCCATAGGTTGATGTGTGCCTACAGGTGTAGAGGACTCCTTTAATATTTGAAATGAGTTTGTAAATAATAAGGTTGTTTTCTCACTACTTAACATTTTGACCTTTTAGCAAGAGTTTTTTTAACCCGGCCCAATGTAATTGGAATTTTCTTGGCCCTTAAATCTCTGGCTTGTGGATTGGTAGTCCTGTAAGTGGATTGGAAAAAAAAAAGACTAGTGGATGGGCGAAAACGAGGTTCTGCAGGAGCCTGCTGGAGAAGTTTTGGGCTTGAGTTTTAGTGGACTTTTATGTGTTTTTTTGATGTTTGTGGTTTGAGAAGCCTTATGTAGTAGAGCTTTGTTTTTGGGGATGAATGGGTCTGACTTTTCAGTAAACATTGAACTATAAACAATGAGTTGTTATAAAATGTTTGGCAGAATTTCTATGATCTAGAAATGAGTTGTCATAAAATTTTCAAGATTTCTGGAGAAAATCCCAAAAAAATATTTGGAATCATTTCTGGATCTTAGAAATTTTGCCCAACATTTTATGACAACTCATTGTTTACAGTTCAATGTTTACTCAGAAGTCAGACCATTCATTCACACAAACAAAACTCTACTACGTAAGGCTTCTCAAACCACAAACATAAAAAAACACA